TACAGCAGGCTAGACATAATACCACTTTCCAACAGTAACATATTCTACCAATGTTATTTGGAAGGGATTACAGTTCAACACCGTATCTTTAATCTATCTGTGTGTCATTTAAGACTTATTTTGAAACAACTACCTATGGTTAAAAGACTCTGCCAAATGATGCAAAAATAGATGCTATTTTGGTCCAACCATATCTACTGCTTAACAGAAATAAAGCTTCTCACTATGGAATTCACATGAATAGTGTCTAAAAATACGCATTTAAAAAATAAAGAGAGCAATAACTCACCAATTACTCCAGGCCCATTAAAGCGAAGTTCCTTCCTTATGGTATCAAATATAATTACCTGGAATTGACATGCCTTTAAGATTGATCATATTTATTATTGTTGTTGTAAAGATGCTGCAAAGAAATATTTATGCACTTCTGATGATTTAATATTACAAATCAGAACAAGTTTTGGTCACATCAAAATATTTCTATTTTTAGTGCCAAATTATTCTGAAGACATAGAAAATATTTTTTGAAAAGAAAACTTATGTTGAGAACAATAATAACAACTAACTTTTACTGAAGTGGGCTTCCCTTGTGGCTCAACTGGTAAAGAATCTGCCTGCAATGCACAAGACCTGGGTTCAATCCCTGGGTTGGGAAGATCCCTTGGAGACAGGAAAGGCTGCCCACTCCAGTATTCTGGCCTGGAGAATTCCATGGACTACACAGTCGCATAGTTGGACTCAGCTGAGAGACTTCCACTTTCACCTTTTACGGAAGTGTTACTGCATGGCTGACAACAAGTAAAGAGCTCTTATACGTATTGCTTTAATTCATTCTTATAGGAATTCCATTAGGTTGTTCCTATTATTATCCCTATTTTACAGATGAAAAAACTGAGTCTCAGAGGAAGTTAGGAATTTGTCAAATCTGACACAGCCGCTAAGTGGCAGAGCCATGACCAAACCCAGGCCATCTGACCTGGCAATCTACATCATTGCCCCAGAAATAGTCATGCTTGATTCTACAGATTTATTTAAAGAGAATGCATCTTCTCTGTTTGGCTAGAAAAAAATTAAGAAAATTTAACAGCAAATCCATTCTTCTACAATTAAAAATTACCGAGGCTCTCTTTTGACTATTTTCTTTTTTTTTTTCTTTTGACTATTTTCATTGCAGTCAGTTTGACTGAATTATTTTTGTTATTCTAAAAGGAAATTAATTTCCTAAATTAGCATCTTAGATGGCAAAGGTGTGATGAATCTATCACCTGAGGTCCTAAAGAAGTCTTGATTATATTTGTATTTCTCTTTTTTCAATTTTTTCAATTTCAAGGGGGATTTCGGTTTTCCTTTTGAACCAAAGTCTACAGCTGAACTGATATTTCCAGTTTCCCTTGTCTATATGAAAAATCATGTCTAATAATAAGCAGAAGATAAAATTTTACATTTGGCATAATTTCAAGAGTCTCCATGATTGTGGTCTTCTTGTAACAAACAATTTGAAACATCTGGAAAATAAACATACATTTCAGGAATAAAGAAATAAACACTAACACTCCCTTCACAAAATTTCTTGCTCTTTTGAGGGGGTTGTCTGAAATTGACTTTTTCTATTATTATCAAAGATACCATTCAACTTTTCTATTTAAATACTGGAAAAAACACTAACATTTAACCCACAAACAAAAATGTTTAGATGAGAAATCTAGCAATAAAAATGGATGAGTGTATATATCATATTCTTTTCTCACTCCATATACTTAAGAGAATGAATGATGGAAAGAATAATGACTTTCACAAACTAGGTTTATGCTCTTGATGACTAATATAGTGATGAATATCCATTCTGTGGAGGAAGTTCAAAGGGAAGGAGGAAAAAGCCATGAAAAGGTTTTTAGCTTCAAATTATGGTTAAGATACACAGACAAAACGAATTTAACAAATGATAGTAAAGATCACATAAATAATACCAAACGAAGTTTAAAGAAAACCGATTCTACAGGGCTAAGAAATGCAATTCACGAGATTGGGAAAAGATGCAAATTTTCTCGACCCCACCCTACTAAGAAACAATCAATCGGTGCAGTAATCGAGAATAAGCCCTTTCCTAGATGGCCAGAAGAACCTTAAGAAACTCACCTCCTAACTCGGGGCGTCTTGGTTTTATTTTTCTTTGGCATAACCTGCCTACTTGCTGCCCTCTCTTCCCATTACTCGGCCAGAGGGTTGGGAAGGGGGATATTTTATCGAGGCGCTGCTGACCAGGAGAGACTCTTGCCCAAACCGGAGACAGGATGAGGCCACTGCTGCGCTCTTACCTCCCGCAGTGACAGCGACTGTGGTCACCGCTTCTCTGCGCGGGGCCAGCCAGTCTCGCCGGGATTGGCACGGGTCTGGCCAAGATGCAACCAGGAGGGTCCCCGCCCGCCCCTCGCTGCAGCTTCTGCTGGAGCTGGGATAGCGCGCGCCCGTGATTCAGCGCCTTTCTGCTGCGTGGTTACCACGGCGACGCGCGCGCACGCGCACACGTGCCCCCAGGGATGGGAGAGGAGCTGTCTTTGCCCAGCTCTTGGCTCCCAGCTCGAGCTCTAAAGATGAGTACACAAGTTACCTGGGCTCCCACCCCGCAGGAGACCAAACAGAAGGCTTTCGAGCAGCAGGTTGGCCTGCATTGCTCCACTTTTCCTTCACCAACCCCTTCAGGCCACCTTGGTCCTAAACAGCCTGAGGGGATGAGTACCTCTTACAAATGCCCAGGCCAGGTTCAAGCGAGGCGTGAGCACAGTACTTGGGTCAAAGACCCTTTGCAAATGTCTTCCCCAAAGCAAAGTCACCCACATGCACACTTCCTACGCCTCCAGAGGGAGCCTCTTTAGGCTTCCCGCTAATTTTGAGCACGTGTTGCTTTCTAAAACGAGGATGGAAACCGGTGTTAAGAAGTATTGCATTATGGGAAGATGATCATTTGAACAATAGAAAACTCCTGTGTAAGATTCTCCCTTGCATTTATAGTTTCCTTGTAAGAAAGATGCACACATCGAGGTATGGTAATAGAGAACCGAAAAGGAACCCAGGGCACTGCTGAGGCCTTCCTTGTACATTCCCATGACAATTAAGTTTAGAGCAGTACTTATTGGAAGCAATGACTTTGGGAGGGATATTTCCTGTTAATTTCGCTTCTGGGTTAATCTGTACCTGTCCTCCCAGTCTGATCAACTGGTATTTCCACTGTTTCAGTCCTGAGTAGTTTTTGATGAACAATCCCCTTCTAGGCTATGCCCTGGCTATGGCTGAGCCTTGAAAGAGTTACTTGCTGAAACTGTCTTGTCAATTATAAAATAGAGATGGTAATAGCACTTGTAGAAGATGATTGTGGGGATTTGAGGAGTGCACAAAGACAAAAACTATTCAGGACTGAAAGAGTGGAAACACCAATTGATCAGGCTGGGAAGACAGGTACAAATTAACCCCAAAGGGAAATTAACAGGAAGTATTTCTTCCAGTCATGCAGTAGCTGTAAAATGACATAACAGCCTCCTCTAAGAATGACTACTTTCCTACCAGCCGCCCCCCTTTGCTTCACTATTTCCATTAGTAACTAGTGATACCCCATTGCAATTCTCCTTCCCTCATGACAGTGCCCAATCCATAGTTAATCCTTGCTTCTCCCAACCTGCCTCTGAAAAAGAGTAACCCAACAGGACCAATCTCTGATTCCAAGACCCTCCTTCAAAGGAAACCCAAACCTTACAGGACACGCCATCCTTTCTCTTCTCATAGTGGCATTCCATTGTACCCCCGAGTGCCCTTTCTGCCCACATCAAGAAATCTGATGTACTCAGACAAGAAGGCTGTTCCCAGGAGTCTCTAAATAAAAATTAATATATGGGCTTAAAAATCTTTACACATATATATATGCTTACATATACATGTAAGTTTAGCCTAGACTTTTAAACTCAGAGTCATTACAATGAATATCTATTTTGATATATGTAATACATATAATCAGGGAACTTCCCTGGTGGCTAAAATGGTAAAGCGTCTGCCTGCAATGCGGGAGACCTGGGTTCAATCCCTGGGTCAGGAAGATCCCCTGGAGAAGGAAATGGCAACCCACTCCAGTACTCTTGCCTGGAAAATCCCATGGATGGAGGAGCCTGGTAGGCTACAGTCCATGGGGTTGCAAAGGGTAGGACACGACTGAGCGACTTTACTTCACTTCACAATACATATAATACCTATTTTCATACTGGATTATGAAAATATTAGCTGCCTCTCTAAGACACAAATGAGAGGCCACTATCATTTCTCTTCACCGTTTATTGAGCTCCTGCTACATGCCAGACACTATCATAAATACTAAAGATAAAATGATATATTTTTAGTACAGCTTTCCAGACTTTATCTGATCTTTATATGCTGTTGGTTGGGACATTTGTTCTTACTGAATTGCACAATAAAAGACAAGGACATACATCTTTTTGGAGGTGGGAGAAACAGGTCTAGCATGATTCAAGTACTTACTGTATCAGTGGCAAAGATGCTGCTTACCATACTGATACACAAGATTCTCAGTTGGAATTTCAACAAGACTGGAAATAAGGTACACAAAGCTACTATACTGAGAAAACCTGAGATTCAAAGTAAAAACTCAAACTCAAACATGTGCTCTGTAATAACCTAGAAGGGTGGGAATGGGCAGGAGGTGGGAGAGAGATTCAAGAGGGAGGGGACATATGTATACCTATGGTTAATTCATGTTGTTGTATGACAGAAATCAAACCAATACTGTAAACCAATCAATTAAAAATAAATATTAGAAAAGGATACTGAGTGTCTTTATTTGTGCATGAAGAACTTTTGCCTATGGAAAGCAGATGAAAAGTAGTTTTATCGTTCTTATTCACTTCTAACTTGTTTCTTAGATTTTGTCACTATAAGCAGTAAACGGGAAGGTATTTAACTTGGATGCTTAGTCATATGAAAGAAATCATACTCCTTTCCAGTTTTTAAAACAACTTGGTAATTATTTAATCTATCTAATACACAGTACTATATTTTTTTTATATTTAGCCCGTCACTTATCCAGATTTTTTTTTGGTAATATGAAGTGTGGTAGAGTTCTTCTAATTCTTCTTTCAAGTGAATAAGCAGTTTGTGCCCCAAACATCCTTTTCTCACAAAAATGAACTATAGCTTTCATAATATATGCTAAAAGATTAGCATTAATTATCATTTTCTTAAATGATTAACATATACAACTCTTTTCCATTATGACACATTGTATGTATAAATTCAGTTTGTCTTTTTTAAGGTGTTTGTTAATTTTGACACTCCTGATGAAAACAAGGTTCTGCCACTTCTCATTCCAATTATTTACCACCAGTTTTCCTTTCTGTTACTGAGGAAGTCAATATATTCTTGGTAATACTTGGCAGAATGAGAAGTAATGTAGAAAGCTGTTTTTTTCCACACAAAGGTGAAGCTGCAGTAGCTGTGGAGCCAGAAACAGGAAGCAGGTAATAATTTCAATTGCATCATGAGCACAAAAGCATGTTAAAACAAACTATAAACAAGCAAAATTCTTTATTTAAAGTATATTCTCTTGGGGAAGAAAAAAAATGTTTCCTTAAAGCACATGTAGAAGTGTTCCTTATTAACCTCCTGAAAAAATTCAGTTTTACAAGCAGTAAAACTAAATGGCTATTTCTCTTTACACATTTTTCTCTTAGAAAAAAGCCCAATGCCTCTGGAAAACTGACTTTAATCATTATCAAGCCTAACTTTGCCTCTGTTCGGTAACAAAACTACAAACACAAATTTTTTTAAGTTAAGGGATTTTAAATCATGAGTTCATTTCTAGCTTACCAATTAGGTACTGTTAACTGACAAAAAATCTGATGGATGATAACTATCAGATTATCTGGATTTATGAAATAGTATTAAAAGATCCAATCCCAAGGACTCTGTAACCCGTTTTTTCTTTTTTTTGAAGACTTATTTAAAATATAACTATTTTGTTAGCTGATTTAAAAAATAAATCTAATATAAAGGCTAGTCCACAGACAAAATGTGGCCCTGCTTGAAATCCAGCCAGCAGCAACGAGCACTATTAAAAGCTCTGGTAGTCATTGTGACCTTGCATTAAGAGGCCTCACGTTTTCAACACAGGTATGCTTTAGTTTAAATGAATATTAAGATTTAGTTCTGAAATCTGAGGACACAATCCACAAAGTAAAATCACAGTAGTTTTTCCTTCTGTTACAGTGATCCAGTTTATAACTCCTCCTTGTTAAACTACCTTTCCAGGACAGATAGAAATTATAATTGAAATTATAATCACAGAACAAAATCACTCCAAACATTTAAAACTCGTATTTGAAAAGCAGTTCACAATATTACATCTAAGTTGCACAGAAGACCCCAGTGATCACTGGGAAATCTACCACAGTCCAGTTTTTCCAGCCCAAGCAGGTCCAAACTTTGGGGAATAATGTGGCCACCTTCTGCTGAGGCTCTAAAAAATATTCGATCAAAACGAAGCTTACAAGTAGCAGCTATTCCAAGATTAGAGTTCATTTGTGTATCCCATGTATACTGGCAATGCTTAGGTTTGCCCAAAAACTCCCAGACATCCAAAATGTTGTTGGGTAAACCACCACATTTGGTAACCTGAAAAGAAAAAGAAAGAACTCTTTTCAGTCTTTTTCCCCTTAAATTAAAAAGGTCTTTACCATGACTGCATCTAAGTACAATTTTTCCAGTCAGAATGCCACAGATTATTTGTTGATGCACAAATGCAAAACTGGGTACAACTAGATATTTTATAAAAGTAGTTTACTGCATGATAATAAGTAGGTAACATAAAGATATCAAGAGAGCCAGAGGTCTGAAATTTGCCCTTTCTCTTCTAACATAAACAGATTCCTAATTTTGGGTATCAGTTAAAACCCAGAAGACTGAAAACCCATGGCCTCAGTTATTGTTATTAGTAGTTTTTTTAAAAATGAACGTAAATGTAGAGAAGGCAAAACTGTTACTCTAAGCTATAAATTTAGATGTATACCATTTTATATGATCTAATAATGTCAAATATCTGCAGGGGTTTTTTTTTTTGTTATTTTCTGTTTTGTTTTGTTTTTTTAAATAATAGTCATGCTAATGCCTGTGAAGTGGTATCTCATCATGGTTTTGATTTGCATTTTTCTCATGACCAATGATATTAAACATCTTTTCAAGTACTTATTGGCCATTTGTATGTCTTCTTTGGAGAAATATCTTAATCTTTTGCCTTTTTAATTTTTTATTTTGTATTGGGATATGGCCGATTAACAATGTGATAGCTTCTGGTGGACAGTCATACATATACACGTATCCATTTTCCCCCAAACTCGCCTCCCATTCAGGCTGTCACGTAACATTGAGTAGAATTCCATGTGTGTTGTACCCATTTTTTAATAAGATTTTTTATTAACTGTAGGAGGTCTTTGTATATTTTGAATATCAATCACTCATCAGATATATGACTTGGAAATATTTTCTACCATTCCATGGGTTGCCTTTCACGCCACTGATAATATCCTTTAATGCACAAAAGTTCATTCTGATTAAGTCTACCTTATCTATTTTTTCTTTTGTTCTCTGTGCTTTTGGTATCATATCTAAGAAATCACTGCCAAATCCAATGTCATGAAGATTAAAAAAAAAAGGTTGAAAAAAGAAAATCTCAGTAGGAAGAGTCAGGGAAAACTAGGCTGGTCAAATCTTTGTTCTTCTCACCTTGCAACTAGAGAAACTGAAAATAAAGCGACCTTTGCTAAACTAGAAGAGTTTATTATTTTCTCTACACCCCTCTTTTTAATCAATATATTGTTTTGTGTTGTCCTTTTCATATGCTATATATATATATATTTCACTAATAATGTAAGTCTCCCTGCCTCTCCTTTCCCTGAGTAAGGCAAGTAGTGCAGTCTAAATTATTCACTGAACTGCATCTGCAGGGCCACTTACAAGTAATGAACAAATGAAGGTCCTAGTCAGCTTTAGTCAAAAGAAACCTAGGGGACTTCCCTGGTGGTCCAATGGCTAAGACTCTGCGCTCCCAAGGCAGGAGGCCCCTGTGTGATCCCTGGTCAGGGAACTAGATCCCACATGCCTCAACTAAGAGTTCACATGCTGCAACTAAAGACCCCACATGCCGCAACGAAGATCCAGTGCAGCCATGAACAAAATTAAAAAAAAAAAACCCACACCAAAAACACGAGAAACCTAAATAAATTCCACAGCAATAAACTGCCCATAAACATTGAACTGACTTCATCACTCACTTCCTGATCCCTGAGATTTGTATCTCCAGCAAATATAACTGTAGCTGATTCTGGAGCCTCTTGCATTTTCTCTAAAACCATTTTCAACTGATTCATTCGTTCCTTAGCGTGCCCTCTGGTGCTTTCCAAATGAGAAGTCATAAGGCAAAGCTCATTTCCTGACACACTCACCTGCAACAAGACAAAGAAGAAGAGTTGAGAAAATGATCCACTGTTAACACTGAACTTTGTTAACAGAATCAGTAATTATTCAATTGATTGGTTATATATTAATATTCATTAAAGTGAAACTGTATCATCAGCACTGGGCTTATCTCTAAAAGGTCAAAGAAGACTCCCAAAGAATACTGAGCAAGTACCCACTAATACTTCAAGACCTAACCCCAATGTCCACTCCACCGTGAGCCCTTTCCCAGTGTCCCAGGTCTGTGGCTCCCCCTTCTATCCTCCTGAAGAACACTGCAGACTGCTCATAAGATTAAACTGCAGCACAATTACATCTCTCCCACAAAGCTGTTGAATCATTCGAAAGCAAAGAAGGCTCTTTTATTTTCTACTATAGTATCAAGAGCCTGGCACATAGGTAATTCAAAATAATATCAGTTAAATGATTAATGAATGAATGAGAATCACTTACCATTTGCAATGAAGATACCAACAATGTAAGATCTGTCAATATTTCAACTAATTGCCTGCAGAGTCAAGTCCAAATTCTTTTATACTGGGCATTCATGATCTCTTATGATCTGGATCCAACCTACTTTACTAGCCTCTCATCACACCACCCCTCTTTGTACCCTCTACACTCAACTGAATAGAACACTTATTTCGAGCTATACGTGCCCTCTTTCATATAAACATACCCTGCTATTTGCAATTTGCACAAGTTTGCTCATGGTGGTTCTGCCACCAGCACTGTTCTTAATATCTATATTTTACATATTTTTCAGGGCCCAATTCAAATACAACTTCCATCATGAAACCGTCACTAAACAATGCAGCTAAAAGTCATCTCTTCTTTCTCTAAGCTTTCAAGGCACATGATTACACCTCTCCTACAGCATTTATGCCTTTTCTTTATTTTAGCTACTATACATATAATCTCTCCCCTGCTAATATACGAAGTCTATGAGAGCAAGACCTATTTGACTAAGTTTTGAAAGACTCACAGAATCCAACACAGTACCAATTACAGTGCATTTAATTAAAAAAAAAAAAACCAAAAACTAGAAAGCAAATGTGGAATGTTAGCAAACTCATATATTAAGAAAATATCTAATGAATCAAGGATCTTATTTTTACAAATTTTCTGTATTTGAAATGTGTCTAAAAATTTAATTTATAAAGTTCTCTTAGACTATTTAAAAGAACCTGTAAGTGAGGAGTAAATATTTCTCTAAATATAATGTTTTATTTTTTTTAAAAGACATCATCAGGGAGCCATGAAAAAATTAGTTCATTCTTCTTTTTAAGTCAATTTAAAAAAATTACTTACATGCACACACAAAAGGTTTCTCATCATTTGCGTATTTGGAAAAGGAATAATTTCTTGGCTTTTAAACTTCACTCTCGATTTCTTCAACATTATNTTAAGTCAATTTAAAAAAATTACTTACATGCACACACAAAAGGTTTCTCATCATTTGCGTATTTGGAAAAGGAATAATTTCTTGGCTTTTAAACTTCACTCTCGATTTCTTCAACATTATAGCTGTGAAATATCCTTCTTCACGACCTTCAAGTGTTTGTGGAAAAGAATGCAGGCTGAGAGGTCAGGGGTATTTGCAGTTTACCCCAAGTTCCCCTACTGAAAATTCTATTTTAACAAACAGGTACAGAATTTAAATGGATCTACATCTTAAGAGTAAACTATTACTTCAGAATAGTTGAAGATGGCCAACCAAGTCCCAACATAATTGAAGTATGGAAGAATTACAAAAATGTAGCTGGAAATACGGAAGAAATACAAAAATAAAAATGAATTTACATAAATGCCCCAAACAGTTAACAGTGCTAATATCAAATATAAAAATTTGAAAAAATGTTGAAAGGCAAGAGTATGGGACAAATTGAGGCAACTTGATATGAAGTCACTTTTTTAACTCTGAAAGCACCAGAAAAATCACAGGAGGGGAATAAAAAATTTAGAAAGTAAAAACTTGCAAGAAGAAACGAGAACAGAAGTGGGGGGCAGTGAATAAGAGCTTCCCAGTTTTTCAGAGAGCGAAGCAGACGGAGAAGGGCTGGCTGGTTTAATCAGAACAGAGGGAAACCAGGAAAAGAAGAAAAGGGAGAGAAGGGAGGAAGAGATGGAGAGGGACGGTCAGGGAGGAGGGTATCAGACTGGAAAGACCGCAGGTGGGCAAGGCAGCAGGGGGCAAGGAGGAGGGAAACAGAGGGAGCAAAGGAGAAAGAGAAAAAAGAATTTTCTAGAACCAAAGGTTATGAACCTCCAGACTGAAAGGTCCTACCAAGTGTTAAGCATAATAGATGAAAAAACACTGGCTTTAGAAGAAGAGGTTCAAAATTTCCTGAACAGGAATTTGAATGGCATCAGACTTAAGATCATCAATAATGGAAACCAGAAAATACTGAAGTCATGCTTTCAAAATTCTGCAGGAAAATGACTTTCTACCTAGAAATCTATGTCCAGCCAAACTATCAAAGAACTCTGAGGATAAAACACTGGCACATGCAAATAGGATGGGATTCAAACACTTCACTCCCACTCCGCTACTTCTTAGAAAGTCACTAGAGAATGTGCGCCAACAAAATGAGGAAGTAAAGCAAGAAGGGGCAAAGCGTGGGATTCAGAAAACAGGATAAGAGAAGACAGGCAAAATGAATCTCCAAGAGAATGCAGAAACGTTGTCCCACAGAGAGAGAGAGAAAAAGACAAAGAGAATTCTCCCTTTAGCAATTCTGGATTAAAAAGTAAATCAAAATTGAAATCATATACTAGGCAAAAGTGAAAGCCAAAAAAAATATGAGATTTAGCCAAAAATCATGAAATGAAGCCGAAGCGGTACACTAAATGCACTTAATAAAAGCAAAATAGATGAAAAGTCAAAAGCTAAAATTTTTTTTTAAAAAACTAAAATATTAAGGGCAAAAAAGTAGAAAAAAGAACAAAAATAAATAAAAAGAAATTGGTAAAGACTCTTTGAAAAACATAACCACAATGTGATCATCACACTTGAACATTCTCCAACAACTTGATTTCACCAAAAAGCTAATCCATGCCTTAAATTTTGGCAATTTACATTTTTCTGAAAAATCATCCATTTTAACTACTTCTTCACATATATAATATCTTCTCCTATGATTTTTTTTAGTATCAGAGAGTGTGACTTCTTTTTCTCAAGCTTACTTTATTTGTGCTTTTTTCCCCTATGTTCCAATTGTTTAACTTTGATTTATCTCTCTCCTTGACTTGTTTTGCAAAAAAAAAAAAAGACAAGTTAAATAACAGAAAAATTGTTACCTGTAATAATCTCGTAACTACTTGCTTTCTTCTTTAGGTAGGCATAATATGGGGGAATAACTTCCTGTAGAAATATCACATCAGGGCTGTACCTAATTAAACACATCAATTTATGATAAGTACCAGGTATATCATTTCATTTGCAGCTACCTAATAGGAAAATACCACAGCATAAAAGAAACACAAAATATAGTCCTCTAGGACACCTACTATTCGATGTTTACATTGATCTTTGATAACTATAAAATGAGAAAGATCTGTGCTACTTAACACATAATACTGTAAAGATCAAATTAAAAAAAAAAACATATATATGACAACCCTTTAAAGTCAGAAGAACTGGAATCACTGACAGTAGATACCCAGTAATATTAAGACCTTCCAATTGTCTTATACTCTCATAGATGCCTGAAGTGTTGTTGTCTCTTTCTGTCCCCTTGAAACGGTTATTATCCATGATGAAGAAAATGGAGCTCCAAGCTCCAGAGAATTGAAGTGGCTCTCAAGTGGTTCTACAAGGTCACAGAGCCAGTGTGTGGCAGATACAGATCACACTGGCAATTTCCTTTTCACAGCAATAATTACATAACAAGTTTAGTAAGTAAAATAGTACCAGAAGACTTCAAACAAAAGTTAAGTGTTCCCTCTGAACTCCAACCCACAGTCCTGCTCCCAGAGGCAATCATTCCTGATTCTTTCTGATATTTCCTCTGACAGCTGGACTCTGAAGTCAGGACTGATTGCAAAGCCCATAACCTTGATCTATTACCCTCCTTGTAGGCAGGTAAGATACATTATCACACCATCATGAAACAGATGTAATAATACTTACAAAGCTAAATATGAACACACCCCTCGAGCTCTCTCTAGCAGATTGTTCATGTCCAATCCATCAATATTCCAGGTAATGAAAGAGAATACGCTGCCATCTTCTTGCTGAACACTTTTATCTTCAGATGTGCTGGTTTTAGAACGAACGGAATCATTTGTCTCTTCCTTGGTTAGGTCAACACTGGCAAGAGCAGAATGAAACATAACTCTGCAAATAATCTAGAAACTGATTAACTTAAAAATTATTTTTCAAATCTTTGTAGCCCTCATTTTACAGGTAAGTAAAATTCTCTTGCTGAAACTGGATTTATTTTTATTGCAATTCATTATCAATTTTGAATTTCACATTTATTCTTAGTCTTTCTCATTGCAAAGTTGGGCAGGGGGTAAGTACATTTTAAGAGTCCTAAACTATCTGCTTATAGAAGAGCAAGAGTCTGATGACTACAGAAAACTAGACTCTGTGTTATGCAAAAGTCTGTTCACTTAGAACCAACTTGATATTCCTCAGTGATATAGGTCATTAAAATAACTTTACAGACTACAACCCCAAATTAGATTGAGTATGTAAGATTTCCACATTTATTTGGATTCATTTTAAATCATATTTGAAATATGGTGCCAGACAAAGAATGGCTACAATTTTGTTATTTGCCTCACTGAAAGGGGAAGTCCAATGAACACCCTTCTCCTTGAATCTGGGCTTTAGTGACTTACTTGATCCACAGAACACAGTGAAAAGAATATTCTGGGATTTCTGAGGCTTGGCCATTAGAAGCCTTGCAGTTTTCACTCCAGTCTTTTGGAACCTCTGTTCAAGAAACTTGAGCTCTCACATGAGCAGTCTGACTGCTCTGTGACTGCCATGCTGGAGAGACCACATGTGTAGGTTCTAGTCCTCAGGCCTGCCTGACTCCACCTCCCCCATCAAGGCCCGGACATTGGCGTGGAGGGGCAAACATTACTAAAAGGTGACTCCTAAACATTTATATCACACACACAAATTTCAGAACTAGGGTTTTGTATTTATAATCTTAGTATATTTAATGCCAGTAATTTAACTTCTTTTAGAAAATTGTATTTTATTTTATGGCCTTGCCACGCAGCTGGCAGGATCTTAGTTCCCCAAATAAGGACTGAACCCCAGCAACAGCAGTAAAAGCTCCAAGTCTTAACCACTGGACCACAAGGGAACTCTCCCCCTCCCCAATTTTTTTTTAAATTAAAATATAATTAACCAGTATTGGGGACGAATCCATACCAGGGGCCTCCTGATCTAACGCACTGAGGAGGACAGCCTACCACTCTGTGTCACATAGTATAATGTATATAAAACATTATACCAGTTTCAGGTACATAATATAATGATTCAATATTTGTATACACTGCAAAATGCTCACCACTGTAAGTCAACTATAAACTTCCTTTGGAAATAATTTCAGACTTTCAGAAAACAGTAAAAAGAATTCTACTCACCATTCATACAAATAAATGTTAACATTTTACTTATTTAACATTTACTTGCTTTACTTGTTATTCAGAAACATTTGCATAAGTATTTTGAATGCACTGATACCCTGGAGAAGGAAATGGCAACCCACTCCCTATTCTTGCCTGGAGAAGCCCACGGACAGAGAAGCCTGGCAGGCTACAGTCCATGAGGTCAAAAAGAGTGGGACACGACTGAATGAGCAAACACACACACCTAAAGATAAGGACATACATATATACCCTAGTACAACTATAAGAAAAGCAACAAAGGAGGAAGAAAAAGGTTCTAGGCAGAGGTGATAAATATCTTTACAAGAGCTGAAAGGCAAGAAAAAAAGGACCCACTGGAGAAAAGAAAAGTTTGACATGTCTAGAATGTAAAGTCAAGTCGGCCGTAGGAAGCATCACTATGAACAAAGATAGTTGAGGAATTGGAATTCCAGTTGACCTATTTCAAATCGTAAAAGATGATGTTGTGAAAGTGCTGCACGCAATATGCCAGCAAATCTGGAAAACTCAGCAGTGACCACAGGACTGGAAAAGGTCAGTTTTCATTCCAATCTCAAAGAAGGGCAATGCCAAAGAATGCTCAAACTACCGCACAATTATACTAATCTCACACAATAGCAAAGTAATGCTCAAAATTCTCCAAGCCAGGCTTCAACAGTACGTGAACCGTGAACTTCCAGATGTTCAAGCTGGATTTAGAAATCGATGTTCACTCTTGCCATCTCCTGTTCAACCACTTCCAATTTGCCTTGATTCATGGACCTAACATTCCAGGTTCCTATAAAATGTTGTTCTTTATAGCATCAGACTTTACTTCCATCACCAGTCACATCCACAACTGGGTGTTGTTTTTGCTTTGGCTCCATCTCTTTCTTCTTTCTGGAGTTATTTCTCCATTGTTCTCCAGTAGCATATTGGGCACCTACCCACCTGGGGAATTCATCTTTCAGTTACTGGAAAAGGTCAGTTTTCATTCTAATCCCAAGAAAGGCAATGCCAGAGAATGTTCAAACTACCGCACAATGCTCAAAATTCTCCAAGCCAGGCTTCAACAGTACGTGAACCGTGAACTTCCAGATGTTCAAGCTGGATTTAGAAAAGGCAGAGGAATCAGAGATCAAACTGCCAACATCTGTTGGATTATAGAAAAAGCTAGAGAATTCCAGAAAAACATCTACTTCTGCTTTATTGACTACGCTGAAGCCTTTGACTGTGTGGATCACAACAAACTGTGGAAAATTCTTCAAGAGATGGGAATACCAGACCTGACCTGCCTCCTGAGAAATCTGTATGCAGGTCAAGAAACAACAGTTAGAACTGGACACAGAACAACAGACTGGTTCCAAATAGGGAAAGGAGCACGTCAAGGCTGTATACTGTCACCCTGCTTATTTAACTTATATGCAAAGTACATCACGAGAAACGCTGGGCTGGATGAAGCACAAGCTGGAATCAAGATTGTCGGGAGAAATATCAATAACCTCGGATGACACCACCCTTATGGCAGAAAGTGAAGAGGAACTGAAGAGCCTCTTGATGAAAGTGAAAGAGGAGAGTGAAAAAGTTGGCTTAAAACTCAACATTCAAATAATTAAGACCATGGCATATAGTCCCATCACTTCATGGCAAATAGATGGGGAAACAATGGAAACAGTGACATAATTTATTTTCTTGGGCTCCAAAATCACAGCAGATGGTAACTGCAGTCACAAAATTAAAAGACGCCTGTCCCTTGGAAGAAAAGCTATACCCAACCTAAACAGCATATTAAAATGCAGAGACATTACTTTGCCGACAAAGGTCTGATTAGTCAAAGCTGTAGTTTTTCCAGTAGTCATGTATGGATGAGAGAGTTGGGCCGTAAAGAAAGTTGAGCGCCAAAGAATTGATGCTTTTGAACTATGGTGTTGGAGAAGACTCTTGAAGAGTCCCTTGGACTGCAAGGAGATCCAACCAGTCCATCCTAAAGGAAATCAGTGCTGAATATTCATTGGAAGGACTGATGCTGAAGCTGAAACTCCAATACTTTGGCCACCTGATAAGAAGAAATGACTCACTGTTAAAAACTCTGACGTTGGGAAAGATTGAAGGCAGGAGAAGAAGGGGACGACAGAGGATGAGGATGGTTGGATGGCATCACCGACTGGACGGACATGAGTTTGAACAAGCTCTGGGAGATGGTGATGGACAGGGAAGCCTGGTGTGCTGCAGTCCATGGGGTCGCAAAGAGTTGGACACGACTAAACGACTGAACTGACTGATTGACATGGCTGGAAGTTTTGTGAGGTAGGAAAGAGAGCGTGACAGGAGACGAACCTAGAAAGACAGGCAGTGGTCAAACCGTGGGGAAACGTGTAAGGCATACCGACTTTAAGAGCATAAGTGCAGGAATTGGGGAGGGAGCAGTGGAATAACAGGGGCGGATGCGCATTTTATAAAAACCATTATCCTGGCCGGCCAGCAGAGAGTAAACAATAGGAAGCAAGGAGACTTCCAAGCTACCATTCTTCAGTAAAGGATTTTGTGTCTCATCCATTTCGAAACGCTCGCTTACCTATTCCCTACACCTGGAATAAAAAATTACGTATCTGATATTTCTCCCTCGGACTCCAAAGTACATGCGAAGTGACACAGCCTGGACTTCTCAGGAGAAACGTGAGCCCCGCTGCTGGGGCAGGTCTCATCTACACCAACCCTCCTCTTTCGGCTACTCAGACCGAAGGCCCGTCTCTGCGCAGACTCGCCGCCTAACTCGATGGCGGGTCCTGGATGCCCAACGCAACCGGGTACCCGACTGCCTCCGCCCGAACCCCGGCCGGTCGTCACCCACCAGGACTCGGGCTCAGAGCGGGACTCAGGACGGCTTTCTGAAGCGCTCTCCTCCACGGCCGGCTCGAAGTAGGAGTTCAGCGCTCTCTGCAAAACAAAGACACAGGGATGGGACGTACGCCTGCACCACCAAGGTGAAGAGCCGGCAAGAGAGAAGCAGCGAAAGCTTACTTCCATCTCCCAGTCGTTCTCGGCCAGGTAGCACTGAGCCACAGCGGCGTCGCAACTCGCGACGGAAGCAAACTCCACACACAGGAGTCTCCGCTTCTTCACCTCGGGCTCCCCCTCCTCCAGCTCCGCTTCCGGCCCAGCCTCCGGCCCGCTGTTCCGCTCCATGGGTTCCTTGGGGGCGGGGGGGGCGGGGACAGTCAGGCGCCAGACTCTGCACAGGCGCCCAGCGCCCGCGGCGCTAGCCCATCCACCGCCCGCGAGAAAACACGCTCGCCTCTCGGAAGACGGTAGAGCGCCTGCGCAGCAAGAAAGTCATCCCGGGATGGCGCGGGCCAAACGGCGCATGCGTGCGCTGTCACGACGCGCTAGATATTAGTGCGCCAGCTGCCAGGGTGAGGGACAGTTGCGGCGGGTGCGCTCGACGGCGGGCCTGGAACGCTCTTCGGGTCCAGAGGGCTGTTGACCCTTTGTGTCCTTGTTCTTTTGCGAACTTTGGGGCTCCCCTGCTCTTCCAAGACTCAGTCTTAAGTGGGGCCTGGGATCCGGCGATCGGTCCACGATGATCTGGTTGAAGAAGGCAAAGACTCTGCTGGAGTGGGTGATGCACTCAGGCAACATTCACAGTTTCGACAGAAACCTGGAAAAGGTATTAGAGGCGAAGGCGCGGTTTCTAACGAAGGGAAAGAAAGCGCCCTCCTTGGTTCGTGGGTGAACGCTGGATAAGTTGTCTCTGGCTAGATTCTTTTGGATTGAGTCCCTAAACTCAACTTAGTAGTAATGATTACTGCTTTGATGGAGTAGAGTTATGTGCTAGGTATGCCTACGTTCATCTGTCCTTTTTTAAAAGGAAAAGGTTAAATGGGTAAGTCAGCAAAATGGGTTTATCTCAGAAATGGCAGAGGAGTTACATATTGGGACTTGCAAACTGAGGCTAGCCATGGGCAAGTCCTCAGCTGTTCTTCTATAGAGAGAATTAGGAGACAGTTGAGAGGGGCTGTTTTGAACAAGTTCTTCGAGAAGAGGAGAGTCGGGTTTGTGGTGGTGTCTCATTGAGTTGCGGAGGTTTCTTAGCTTGTTGCTGATAAAATCTTCCTTTTTCCTGCTGGGATTTATAAAGTAAACTGGGAGGAGTGGTAAGTGGGGGAAAGTTCCCCCTTTAGGGCTTCACCACCCCCTTTGGAAGGAGGTGTTTTATAATAATTATTATGTAATCACAACATTGTATAATTAAAAAGAAATAAGTTAATTTTAGTAAAATAGTTTAACAAAAATATTTTAACATGTAGTCAATACAAAAAGGGCTAACTTTCTGTACTTTGAAATCTCTTGTGAACTGTACACTTAAAGCACATCTCAGTTCATACTAGCTGTGTTTCAAGTGCTCACTACTGACAGGTGGCTAGCGGCTACCGTATTAACTGCACAGGTCGGTATCATGATAGGTGCTCTGTGTGTTAATTTGATCAAAAATAGATTTTGCAGTTGTTTCCTGTGGGCAGATTTGCTCAGGCTAAATAGGTTTATGCATAGTGATTTGTAAATCTAGTCATGAACATGGTTTCTTTTACTGTGAGTTTTAAGGTAATGTGATCTAGACCAGTGGTTCTCAATTGGGGGTGGTTTTGCTCCCCATGGGACATTGGGCAGTGTCCTGCCACCCTTATGGCAGAAAGTGAAGAGGAACTAAAAAGCCTCTTGATGGAAGTGAAAGAGGAGAGTGAAAAAGTTGGCTTAAAGCTCAACATTCAGTCCCTGATGCTGGGAGGGATTGGGGGCAGGAGGAGAAGGGGACGACAGAGGATGAGATGGTTGGATGGCATCACCAACTTGATGGACATGAGTTTGAGTAAACTCCGGGAGTTGGTGATGGACAGAGAGGTCTGGCGGCTGTGATTCATGGGCTCTCAAAGAGTCGGACACAACTGAGTGACTGAACTGAACTGAAACATTTTTGATTACAACAGGAGTGTGGTAGGAGTGGTGGGACTGGCATCTAGTGAGTAGAGTGGAGGGATGCTGCCAAACATCCCCAATGCACAGATTCCCTCCCCCTGTCCCCACAGCAGAGAATGGTCCAGTCCAAATGTCAGCAGTGCTGAGATTTTGAAAACTTGACTTAAAACCATGCTGTTAATCATTCACTTTGACCTAGGTCAAAAGTAGATAAATTGCTACCCTTATTCTATGTACATATAAATCATGTCTTTGCACTGGACTTAAGAGTTGACTGTTCAAATCATATGATTTCTTTCTCTAAATCTCTGGTTAATAATTCTTTAAAATCTCTTAATAAAAAAGTGTAGTTTTTGTGCCTTACGGGATCTTGACTGACAAATCATTTTACGTCAAAAAATTGTCTCTTTGGTGATTTAAATATGACACCAGAGATTCTTCAAGGCAAGAAATGCTCACTTTTAAGTACAGGATTTTAAAATGCAAGATTACTGTTAAAATTAAACTGGAGTAAAAGATGTACATGGTCTCTCAGACACACTTGTCCTCTTACCCCATTGCTTTTGTAAAGACTAGAAGGAATAATGTTCCTGGGTGTAAGAAGCAAGTAAGATGTACAGAACTATTGTGTCAAGTCTGCCCCATTACCCAGTGCCACAAAGTCAATGAATCAAGTGCAAAAACACTGGAAAATTTGGCTGATAATATTCCAAAGAGGATTTTGTTTTGGGGACAGATGTTTGGAGATAGCATATAGAATCTGAAAAATGATCGTGACTTTCTGTCCCTCTACAAATGATCTGGCAAATTGAAAATTAGTTCTGGTATAGATGTCAAGTCAATGCGTGAGATCGTACATTATACTGCTTTATCTTAGCCTGTCCTCTTTTTTTAAAAAACCTCTGTTTTATCAGTGTTTATAAACACCCACAGGACCTGTCTTTTATAAAACACTGATACAGAAAGACTAACACTCAAAATAAAGTCCTGATCTTGCTATAAGATCACTTTTAAATCAGTACTTAAGTACTGTGAGATTATAAAGAAATACCCATCAACTTCCCAGGTGGCGCAGTGGTAAACTATCCACCTGCCAATGCAGGAGCTGCAGGAGATGCAGGTTCGATTCCTCAGTTGGGAAGATCCCCTGGAGGAGGAAATGGCAACCCACTCCAGTATTCTTACCTAGAAAATTCCATGGACAAGAGGAGCCTGACAGGGTACATTTTATGGGGTCTCAAAGAGTCAGACACAACTGAATGTGCACATACAGACACCACACACTCCCCATCACAATTCCTCACCCTTATCATCAAGGAGAGGGAAAAAGTGGGTTCCAAGGAACAGTCCCATCAGATGTGCCCTGAGTGGGGAAAAAAAGTCCTCCAAATAATTTCAGAAAACATTGATGTTGTATCCCCTCTTTAGAATTGTGGTATAATACACATATTTTACCACATGGGGCATCCGTCGTGGCTCAGACAGTAAAGAATCTGCGTGCAAGGCAGGAGATCTGGGTTTGATCCCTGAGTTGGGAAGATCACCTGGAGGAGGGTGTGGCAACTCACTCCAGTATTCTTCCCTGGAGAATCCCCATGGACAGAGGAGCCAGCCGGCTAGTCTTTGGGGTCACAAAGAGTTGGACACGACTGAGCACACACACACACAACATAAAGTTCACCATCTTAACCGTATTAAAGTATTCAATTCAGTAGTAATTTTTGCATTCACATAGTTGTACAACCATCACCACCATCTGTCTTCAGAATTCATCTTGCAGACCTGGAACTCTACCATTTAGGCAATAACTTCTCATTCCCTTTTTTCCCCAGCTTTGCCAACCACTATCTATAGTCTGTGTCTCTGAATTTGACTGCTCTATGTACCTCATATGAATAAAGCCATTGCATCCCTTTTATATATTAAAGCTTTCAACTAGTTCTGCAGTAAAGAAACATGTTTCACCTTATCATGTTTAAGTTACTTGCCAATGGAACTCTCACCCCCACAATGACACATGTGAAAGTATATACTTCAGGAGTCTCAGGTGAGATCTGGAAACACCAGGTGAAATCCAACACACAAAGAAATAAGGGCAGGCAGTTCAGAAGCCAGGTTAAATTGTGTCGCATCATCCTTGTGGAAATGAGAGGTAAAGTGTAAGTGAATGAGCTGTCTAGACTAGAGCACAGACTAGCGAGACGCATTAAAGATTTAAGACTGAACCCCGAGGACATACAGGGTTGAGAACAGTAAGTAGCCTTTGAAGGCTATAGAAATGGTTAGGAAAGTAAGAATAGACCTTATACTTACTAGAAAAACTTTGAGGCTTTGGCTCTACCACAAAAGAACAGTGATATTACTTAAAGTTTATCAACATGATATGCCAACAGGTACACCTGGACTAGGGAACATATTATTTAGACTTCTCTCTTGCTATTTGATTTGTGATTTTATCATAATGGGCTCATCATATTTACATTCCTGCAGGGCATCACTCCTTCCTGGGAATAACTATTCCAGTTCTACATACCGAACTAGATTAGCTGCAAAAATTCTCCCCAAGTTTGTGCTTTCCCTCGAGAGGAGATCTGGAGGAGTGAAGAGACATCACCCCAGTCCTCAATCTATAGGTGGTGAGGAAGGTCTTTCCCTATTAGCCCCTCTTTTCCAGGTTGAAGGCAGCAGAGGCGCTGTAATTGAGAGAAACCTTGCCAACATGATTATTGTGAACATAGGCCTTCACAGCATCTACCTTTGTAGGCATTCTGTAGACTGATTTGATAAAATCTGCCATTTACCAGCCTTTGGGAAAAATACTGCTTATAATCCTGCTTAGCACATCTCTCCTCACCATCACCACCCTGCCAGTGAACACGAGTGGAATGGTACTTCAGCTGGTTGAATCTTCAGGGAATATTTAAATTCCTCTGAGTGCTTCCCTAGGGCTTTGTTTGCCTCCCATGGCACCCATTTGTTAACTTTTGTTTTTGGTCTTCTCTAATAGTCTCTACCGGTTCCTCAGTCCATCAGTTTAGTCGCTCAGTCGTATCCAACTCTTTGCAACACCATGGGCTGCAGCACACCAGGCCTCCCTGTCCATCACCAACTCCCAGAGTTTAATCAAACTCATGTCCATTGAGTCAGTGATGCCATCCAACCATCTCATCCTCTGTCGTCCCCTTCTCCTCCCACCTTCAATCTTTCCCAGCATCAGGGTCTTTTCAAACAAGTCAACTCTTCGCATCACGTGGCCAAAGTATTGGAGTTTCAGCTTCAGCATCAGTCCTTCCAGTGAATATTCAGGACTGATTTCCCTTAGGATGGACTGGTTGGATCTCCTTGCAGTCCAAGAGACTCTCAAGAGTCTTCTCCAACACCACAGTTCAACAGCATCAATTCTTCGGGGCTCAGCTTTCTTTATAGTCCAACTCTCCCATCCATACATAACTAGTGGAAAAACCATAGCCTTGACTAGATGGTCCTTTCCTGGCAAAGTAATGTCTCTGCTTTTTAAAATGCTGTCTTGGTTGGTCATAGCTTTTCGTCCAAGAAGCAAGTATCTGTTAATTTCATGGCTGCAGTCACCATCCTCTGTGATTTCAGAGCCCCCCAGAATAGTCTCTCACTGCTTCCATTTTTACCTTTATGTTTCAGTGTTCAAGTAACTTAGGGGAGGGCAGGTTTACTTAGTGGCCCTGAGTCCGGTGGAGACAAACACACTGTCTACATGAAAGATTTGTGAGGACTGAGACAGTGTCTCCGTGCCTGTAAGACATGCATATACATTTCTGAGCATGGTCTCTAACACAGAGTTAGCCACAGTTAGCAACCAAATAAATACACGTGCTCCCTACAGCCGGTATCTTGACTGAAACCACAATCTTTTTTTTTTTTTTTTTTAAACAGTGTCCTCCCCTCAGCCCCTCTTCAACAGAGAGGTAGTTCTCCATTGGTTTCTTCCCCCACAAGACATGTTTCTTAGCTCTGGGAAGTTGGGTAGCAAATCGGTCTTCTGATTCGAAAGAAGAATCCGTCTGCATTGTTCTCTTCCCTTGGCTTACTTATTCTACTTAAGGAGACAAGAGCTGGCACTAGGGATTCCCTGATGGTCCAGTGGCTGCGACTCTGTTATCACACCTGAGGGCCTGGGTTCAGTCCCAGGTTGGAACTAGGATCCTACAAGCTGTGCAACAGGGCCACAAAAAAAAAAAGAATTGGTAACACAGAAAAGTATTTCTCTGCCATATCAGAGTGACCCGTGCAAGAGTATCTCTATTCCAGTATACATTTTCAGCCAATTTTGTATCTTAGTATAGCCTTTGGCCTTTCAAGTTGGGTGGGTGGGTTTAGTCACTCAGTCATGTCCAACTCTTGGCAACCCCATGGACTGTAGCCCGCCAGGCTCCTCTGTCCATGAAATTCTCCAGGCAAGAATACTGGAGTGGGTTGCCATTTCCTTCTCCAGAGGATCTTCCCAACCCAGGGATCAAACCAGGATCTCCTGCACTACAGGCTGATTCTTTTTTCCCCCCATATGATCTCACTTCATGTAGAAGTAAGAAAAAGAAAAGACAAACAGCTCAGAGATACAGAGAACAGTTGGTGATTGCCAGAGGCAGGAGTGGGTGGTGGACAAAAGGTGAAGGAGCCAAAAGGTACAAACTTTTGGCAACATACAGCCTTGTCCTACTCCTTTCCCAATTTTGAATCAGTCTCTTGTTCCATGTCCACTTCTAACTGTTGCTGCCTGACCTGCATACAGGTTTCTCAGGAGACAAGTGAGGTGGTCTGGTATTCCCATCTCATAAGAATTTTCCACAGTTTATTGTCATTCACACAATCAAAAGCTTTAGTGTAGTCAATGAAGCAAAAGTATATATATTTTTTCTGTAATTCTCTTGCTTTCTCTATGAGCCAGTGAATGTTGGCGATTTGTTACCTGGTTCCTCTGAGCAGGCAGATTCTTAACCATCTGCACCACCAAGCTGGGGGAGAAGATCAGTACCAAAATCAGTATTCTGCAGTAGAAAGTCAAATTGACATTTGTTTTACCTTTTGTCATCCCAGCCAAAGTTAGATAATCAAATGGAACACTAAGAACTGATCTCTATTAAATACACTGTACCTTGAAATTACACTCAACTGCCTTTGGTGACCTGGAGAAGGAAATGTCAACCCACTCCAGTATTCTTGCCTGGAGAATCTCATGGACAGAGGAGCCTGACAGGCTGCAATCCGTAGGGTTGCAAAAAGTCAGATGTGCTTGAAAATGCAGACGCACACACGCACCCACCTTTGATGACTGTGAGGCTTTCCTGAACTGCCTAGCTTTATCAAACTGTCTTCACCTGGCTAAATTCTGCCCATCCTTCAATCTGCAAATAATTTCACAGGATGCCTTTCCTAATGTCTCTTCCCTGAAAACATACTTGGATGAGTAAGATCCTTACTTCCAGCAACCTGTATTTACCCTATCGGCAGTCATTCACTGTACTGCAAGGTGCATGTATTGTTCCTATAGACTGGAAACCCCTTAAGAGCAGAGATTTGATCTTGTTCATCTTCAGACTGTGGTGCTTCAAAGTCTAGTAAATGCCCCAGTAAGGTGAGTTTATATCTTGGGTCTCTTTGGTGTGCATTATTAGTTTATGAGGACATCTTGTGGCTAGATCATTTATTGAATGATAATGATCCCATTCTAACATTCACTTTTCCATTGATTTACCTCTTAAGCAAAACATACTATTTAGAATGGTTTGTATTTTATGGTTCTGTTTCTGTTTTATATCAGGGCCTTCTAAGGGGTAAACAGCAGCAAACAACTCAAGTTAGTTTGTGAAGTTCCAAAATGCCTTCCTGGTGGGAGCATAAAAGCTGCTATATATCTAGAGATTCTACAGTTAGCAACAAGGGAGACTGGGAGGTAGATAGACTTAGACCTGAATCTCAATTCTGTCATAACCTTGGTGATCTTGAGAGTAAACCAGTCTGAATTTAAATTACTACAAAATGAAAACCATCTGTCCCTTATTACATAGTGCATGGAAAGAGTGGCACAGTGCCTGACTTAAGAAAATGCTCAGTAGGTAGTTCTCTAGAATCGAATCGTTTAATACATGAGACACCCCTCCCTCCCCAGAGACATCACACAGTCATCCATATTCTGTCTGAAAACCTCTAGTGACAGCAAGAATTACTGCACTGGATGCAACACATTCCATTCACAGTTCAGTTCCAACTTCTAAACGTTATCTATGATTTTTTTCCTAGTAAATTAAATAGAATTTAAGAAACACATTTTATTTTTGTTTCCTTTCTAAAGATGTTTGATATGACATTTTAAATTAATTGTTCCACATTTTATCTTTCATGTAATTTTTTCATTATGATACTATAAATGGAGTAGGACCTTAAAAGCAGCAATTTAACTTTGCTGGATTCTATTAAACTTTTTTATACTAAAGTAGGTTTGTGGTATAAGCTTGTTCTCATAACGTATTGAATTTCTTCCAGCCTATTTTAAAAATTGTTTTAAACCATTCATTAAGAAGTCATTCTAAAATTACTTTGTGCATCCAAATTAAAATTACAATGCACCAACAGATCACAAGGACCGCCTGACTTTGTTCATGCAAAATTTCTGAGAAGACATTAAGAAATGCCAGGTTGCTGTACATAAAGCTGAAAAGCTCAGATGGAATGTTTGATTTCTGCAGAGTAGTGGAGATTAAGAAAAACTACTCCTGTTTTTCCCTAAATATTCCTTTTTATTTCAGAATAATTTACTCCAGAATTCCATTCTATCAAGAGAGACTGGTAACTTGATTTTCAGTTTCTGAATCAACTTTTGGAGGTGGCTTGGTTTAATCCAATGACAGTTCTTGGTAGAGCTATTTGTGCTTTTCTAATACCACCAAATATTCAAAATTCTCTTTTCTTTTTTAACACTTAGATGACTGTTGTTTCTGCTGCCCCTGGGAAAGTGATTTGTGAAATGAAAGTAGAAGAGCAGCATACCAATAAAATAGGCACCCTCCACGGCGGCCTGACAGCCACCTTAGTAGATGTCGTGTCATCGCTTGCTCTGCTGTGCACAGAAAGAGGTGTAAGCGGAGTCAGTGTTGATATGAACATAACGTACGTATCCAAAGTGTACCCTAAATCACTTTTCTCAATGTGATAACTCATTTCAAACAACTGAGACTACACACATTTATAACAGAAATAAAGCATGAGTTGCCCTTAGCTGGTCATCCTTAAGTGCAGCTACAGATTTGCCTTAAAAACATTCCATGGTTTTAGAATCTACAACTAAAGGGATTTCTAAGTACAGTATATATTAGTAATAATAATATAAATAATCAGGAATATATAATCAGTGATAAAGGGAAGTCAAGGGGACCTTAGGAAGCATCACTATGAACAAAGCTAGTGGAGGTGATGAAATTCCAGCTGAGCTATTTCAATACTAAAAGATAATGCTGGGAAAGTGCTGCACTCAATATGCCAGCAAATCTGGAAAACTCGGCAGTGGCCATAGGACTGGAAAAGGTCAGTTTTCATCTCAATCCCAAAGAAAGGCAATGGCAAAGAATGCCCAAACTACCACACAATTGCACTCATCTCACACAATAGCAAAGTAATGCTCAGAATTCTCCAAGCCCAGGTTTCAACGACATGTGGACCAAGAACTTCCAGATGTTCAAGCTGGTTTTAGAAAAAGAGGAACCAGAGATCAAATTGCCAACATCCACTGGATCATAGAAAAAGCTAGAGAATTCCAGAAAAACATTTACTTCTGCTGTATTGACTACGCCAAAGCCTTTGACTGTGTGATTCACAATGAACTATGGAAAATTCTTCAAGGTGGGAATACCAGAACACCTTACCTGTCTCCTGAGAAATCTGTATGCAGGTCAAAAAGGAACGGTGAGAACTGGACATAGAACAACAGACTGGTTCCAGATTGGGAAAGGAGCACATCAAGGCTGTATATTGTTACCCTGTTTATTTAACTTATATGCAGAGTACATCAGGTGGAATGTAGGACTGGATGAAGCTCAAGCTGGAATCAGATTGCTGGGCAAAATATCAATAACCTCAGATATGCAGATGACACCACCCTTATGGCAGAAAGCGTAGATGAACTAGTCTCCTGGTGAAAGAGGAGAGTGAAAAAGCTGACTTGACACTCAACATTCAAAAAACTAAGATCATGGGATCCAGTCCCATCACTTCATGGCAAATAGATGGGGAAACAATGGAAACAGTGACAGCCTTTATTTTCTTGGGCTCCAAAATCACTGCAGATGGTGACTGCAGCCACGAAATTAAAAGGTGCTTGCTCCTTGGAAGAAAAGCTATGACCAACCTAGACAGCATACTGAAAAGCAGACACATTACTTTGCCGACAGGTCCATCTTGTCAAAGCTGTGGTTTCCCAGTAGTCATGTATGGATGAGAGTTGGAAAGCAAGCTGAGCACTGGAAGAATTGATGCTTTTGTGGTGTTGGAAAAAGAATCAATTTTTCCACCTAAGCTACAGAAGATATGATTTTTGTTGGAAGGGGAGGCAGAAGTTAAGAGTGGGAAAGCCAATGTTATTTGACACGAGGTCAATGTAAACAACGTATCAACAGGTTTCAATCTCAATCTTTCCTTAGGCTAACTTAACATTTAGTCTGTCTTTACTATGGAAATGAGCATGCTGTAAGCAAATCACAAGATTAAAATGCAAAGGGTCTTTTGAGATTAAGATGAACAAAAAGAACTGCTGGGGCATTGAGGCACATATTCAGCAGTTCTTCCCTTATTCCATGTGATGAGGGTTAAGACTGCCTGATGACCCTGCTTTGCCTCAAGACTATTAGGAGCAGAGATCTTCCAACCTAGCACTGCACTTCATGATCTTCCAAGATACTGCTATTACAACCATAAATCATCTTTAATAAGCCAAACATAATTTTGGCCTTTAAAAGTCTGTGTGGCCGAAGTTTTGGCCACCATCAGGAGCTGCCTGAAATCCAAGAGGACCTCATATTAATTCCTTATAATTGTTTTTAAATCATTTTAGAGCTGAGTAACTTCTGCATATTGATAACAAAACAGCAAGTATTACCTCACATAGGAAGTTAAGCAAATTAAACGAAAGCTTGGGGGAATCTTTCACTAGCCCCAAATAAATATGAAGTAGGAAACCTAAAAACAAAGAAGGGCCGCAGGGCTGGGCAGCAGTTGAAAACCCCTGTGTTTATGGGAAAGCAAACTTGTGTGCGTGTAAGGAATCAGTAAGAGCTAACTTGGGTCAGGATCTGCCATTCAAATTAGAAAGGACAGAAAGTTTACTGATATTATTCTTGAACTACCTAGGAAAAAAAACAAGGCAGGTGTTATGAGATGCACTCAACTTTCTCTTTTTAAAACTGTTAAATATTTCCTTTCAAGGTACCTATCAACTGCTAAAATAGGAGACGACATACTGATCACAGCACACATCTTGAAGGAAGGAAGATCACTATCATTTGCTTCTGTGGATCTGACCAACAAGGCCACGGGAAAACTAATAGCACAAGGCAGACATACCAAACACATGGGAAACACACCATTTGAAGGCAACGAGAAGAAGTCCAACAATGAGTGTCCAGAGTCAACCTGATTTGGACAAATGTAATTTTCAAAATAGCACAACCGGAAGTAGCCAAGAAAGTGTCTTTGGGGAAAATGCCAGAGATCAAGTGGGATACAGGACAGGGGGTTGTCTATGTTCTTTGATTTCGAGACTATTAATGATTAATCCTTAAATTGTAGGTCCTCAGCTCTAAAATGCTCTTTTTTTAAAAACCCAATTCCATTATGGAACTTCAAAGCAGAGGAACCACAGGCCACACTGAAAAATAAGAGTGAGCAGTCCTCAAAAGTTTAAGGCAAAGCAGATTAGTGATAAATAGCCCAGTGGGTATGCTGCTTTTCTGACAATTCAGGATTGGTATATTTTATAGTGGTGGTAGTGGGAAGCATAGAATTACCCCTTTTCTAGTACCTAGGATAAAACCATGCAGATCTTCAATCTCTTAATGCTTGGTATTGGAAAGACCAAGTTCACTAATTGTTTAGTCAATTTCTCAAATTTCTGTCAACTGTGGTATTTATAATTGGTTTCTGCATCAGGGTCTTAGTTCTAACATTTCACAACTGATCATAAAGAAAGGAAGTAATTTCCTTTGGAAGTTGGAAACAGTTAACAGTTAAAGGTTGATGAGCCTTTGGTTGTATTAGAATACAACATGCACATCAGAATATATATAGCCCTGTTTGCTGGAAGGGCAGAAGCAGACTTAATAACAACAGTGAGCACATAGGAAACCCAGATCTAGTATTGCCCACGGAAAGGAACTTGGGATCCTTGGAGAAAACAGCTGATTTCAGAGCTGGGGGTGGGATAGGGAAATAAGATAAACCTATCTTGTATTTGAAAGTCAAGAAGTGCTCAATAAAACAAGGCGTGAAAATTACATAGCAGTGTATGACGCAGAGAGCTCAAACCCAGTGCTCTGTGATAACCTAGAGGGGTGGGAGGTGGAAGTTCATGAGGGAGGAGACATGTACACCTATGGGTGATTCGTGCTAATGTATGGTGAAACTCACACTACTGTAAAGCAATTATCTTCCAATTACAAATAAATAAACTACATACCATTGAAAAGAAATGAGTCCATACTGTTTAGGTGGCAATAAATGGCTGAGACAGGAGAGCCCTTCCTTGTTAACAGAACGCTGGCACATGTAGAGGAGTAAATATAAAATAGTAACTATAAAATGGGGAAACAGGACACCACCTTCACCAATGAACACGGACATCAATGAAGAGCACATGAGCAGTATGTTTCTGGATATTAACTTCAGGGGGGTGCAACATCACTCACAATGGGCAATGACCAGGATGCCCAATCCAAATTTAACCACAAAGGCAATCAAATACCAAATAAGGACATTGTTTTTTTAAAAAATTGGCCTGAACCCTTCAAAGCTTGAGTATGGGGGCAAATTCTAAACCTTGGCACCTAGTTCCACTCAGGGCGGTTAGGTAAAGAGTCCCTGACCAGGAGAAAGTGTTCATTTCAAATAGATTCCAATTGTCAATTGATCAGAAAACATGGAAGTGCATTGTGAAATTAAGAATATTTTTGTCTTTTCCACGAAGCCAGGTATAAGGCCAGAATGGTAATTGTTAAGAGCTGACAAAATGTCTTTGATTCCCAATTCCTGTTGAAATTACAAACCCAACTTCTGAGGTTTATGGTTTAGCCATGGGCTAAGGTCTCAGTAACAGGTACCCAAGTGACTTAGAAGAAAAGTTACCACCTTGAGTTTTGTGTATTCACCTGAATAGTCAGGGAACTTTCACCTATTTTATTTAGGTTTTCATTCAAATTCCAACCAGAAGCTAAATACAATTGGAAACTGGTAAGCACTAAGTTTTACTCCAAAGGAGTAGGATCATTTAGATTTACTCCAATAAAAGTATGCAACCTTTAAGCAAAGCTTTTCTTCATTTAAAAGAAAAATAAAACAAAACTATACAGTAGTCTTTCCTCATGTTCATTGCACAAAATGAGTTCTGCTTTTAGAACCTTGACACTCAATGGTGTTTTTTTTCCTCCCCGCACAATTTAAGATCCCAACTTTAATAACTTTTCTACATCAAAAAAACCCTAAGTTTTCCTTTAGGATGGTGTAAAAACCAGTATTTCTGCACAATTCACTGGAATTGTTTTTCTTTAAAATAAAAATCTCTTTTCAAAACCAAAAAAAAAAAAAAAACCAAATACCAAAAGGAAAGTCCTCTACCGATTGTGGTTTCTGCAGCTATGAATGTATTTCTCAGTTTCATAGCTGCTTAGCTACTTCAGACTCCAGATCTGCTTTAACGTGTGTGTAACTGTGTGCACACTCAGCAGAATACTCTTTCATAACAGCAACTTGGGGAAAGAGATCTGGAAATAAAATACATACATTTATGAGTACCAGGAAACAAACATGACCCAGTAATATATGAGGCAAGACTGCCTAAAATGAGATGCTTTTAAAAGATTTCTTTCCCATGGTTGTATCTTCTTTTTCTTTTTTAAACAACCACTTTTGGCCATTAGAATGAATCTGACACTGCTCTGAACAACGGTGATTATAGCAAAGCTATAAGTTTTAAAAACGTTGTTTATACCTGTTACATTCACTTCTTACCCTCCAAATACTGATGACAGGTGTCAAAGAGGCCAACACCAGCACAAATGGAAAGACCATCAAAAATGAGTATCACCTTGTGCTTTCAGAAACATTTAAGCATTTCAGTGTACAATAGTCCTTTCATTTCACATTTTTAGTAAGATGCTGATGCAGTGCAGCAAATATGCAAAGCATCTTCTTTCACACAGTCCATGCAGAAGACATCTAATTTAAGTTCTGAGATACAAATGATTAAAAAAAAAAATCCAGGATGAAAGAGTTTCAAAATGCATAGTGTTCTGTGCATGAGTCCATTTTTCTTTAAACTCTAATAAAAGAATCAAGTGGTAAGAAAAAAAAAATTGGTGCTGCACTCTCTGATCTTCTCCATTTTGCTGGTTAGCACTCTATTCTGGCATGTAAGGATGGAGGTGATCCTCAATGGTGCCAACTGCCCAGTGGGTAAGCTGTTCCTGTGGCAGGTAGAGGCAGATGCTGCATAACTTGAAGATTGTAGCTTTGTTTTTTGGAGTCTGGAAAGGGAAAAAAAATTTAGAATATTCTTAAGAAGGACCTCAACGTAACTGGCCAATTATCACATGAGAATCTCCCACAATTTACTAAGCACTTAAGAACACAGTAACAAAGCGCACAGAGTAAGGCAAGAAAATTATGGTCCCTATCCACAGGGACCTTGGTCTGGTCAGGACAGAACCCTGACATACGAAATACAGAGAGTCAACATGATACTGAATGTTCACAGAATTTATGCAGACTAAAAAGTTACAAAAGTCAGACTACTAGCTAAAAGAAATTAGGATTAAAGGCATATCATGGAGATAAGATTTGAATAGAGGTTTGTAATCACGTTTGTATACAGAAAGACAGCAGATGTGGTGAGAGCAGAAGGTAGAGAAATTAGAAATAGGTTAAGAGATTTAAGCATATCCTGAGGTAAAGGACAAGCAAAAAAAGTATTAACAGATAAATCACACTCATTAGCTATTTTTAAAAAGCAGTTACCATTTTAACATCTAACTTCTGATAAACAAGGGCTAGGTACTTTCACAAAAAACTACTGCTAGTGAGTAGACAATGAAGTCTGAACCCAGAACTGCCTTCACAGTTTTGCATCTTTTCACTATAGCACCTCTTAAAAAAAAAAAGGCAAAAGGAACAGAAGGTGGACTTTGCCAATGTCTGAAGCAGTCTACATACCTACAAGCAGAATCCATACATGTATATTTTTTCATTTTGACTTTTAAAACCTAGGACTTTCATACTACATTTATAGAAAGGAACATGATCACAGAAGTTATTTGTCCAAGGTCTCATGGCCAGTAAGTTACTGCATCTATGTTAGAATCCGAATTCTAGGCATGAGCTTCTATACCACCACCCATTCAAAATATTTTTGGTCTAGCCCTTATCATATATTTTATGTTAGAATATAAAGGGCAGATCTCTGCTAGATGATTTCAATCAAATTTCTTAATTTCCTTAACTATAAAATGGTAGTAGTAATATCTATACATCAAAAAACTTACAAGGATTAAATGAGCTCATACATGGAAAGCTCTTAGTATTGAGTTTGGTGCATATTACAGTTGACTCCTAAACAACATTGGTTTGGGCTGCTCAGGGCCGCATATAAATAAATTTTTTCAATATATATATTGGAAAAAATTTGAGATTTGTGAAAATTTGAAAAAATCCAAATAAACCACATAGCCTAAAAGTATCAAAAAAAAGAAAAAGATTATGTCATAAATGTGTAAAATATTATGTACAGATGACACGACACTTAAACACAGGGATTGAAACACAGACCCTAAATGCATTTGAAAATCTCCATGTATAATTTAGTCTTCCCTCCATATATACAGTTCCACATCAGCTGACTGAACCAACCATGAATTCAGCCAACTGGACTGAGCAGTATGTATTTATAAAAAAAATTTCACGTGTAAGTGGACAAGTGCAGTTGAAACGTCGTCATTCAAGGGTCAACTGTAGACACTAGTCGAATATCCTGCTCTAAAGTATTTTCTCAGTAAGTAACTCAAACGAAAGTATACTATGAGCAATTAAGAAGGATAAAAGAGTCAACCAAAAAATATTCACCACAGGAGCACTAAGGTAAATAAGAAACTAAAAACAAAAAAGGCCCAAAACAAAATACACCCCACCTAAATTGTATGTTTTCCTATCAGTTTTATCACATGCTTCCAGTGAAATTAATTTTCTTAACTCCCAGTTTCACTTGTAACACCATAAAATTACTTTCTATAAGGTACAAAATGTACAATCTTCCCAAATAGCCTATCAGCTCCTTGAAGATAGCAGTATGACTCCCATTTCTAATTCTCTAGTACCTTGCACAGACTTGCTCAAATAAAAACAAAAACATTCTACACAATGTAATTAATATCGTACTTTTTTTAAAAAGTATTTAAAATCACCTTCTCAATGAGGCCTTCTCTGGTGACATTACCTAAGAATTCACACCAAACAGTATATAATTCCCTCTTTTCTCTTAGTATTTATTACTTACCTACTTCTACGGTTTCCCACAATGAAACGCCAACCCATAGAGCAGGAATTTCTAACTTGTTCACCGCTATACAATACCTGACACTTAGCACTCATCTGCTGAATGAATGCTAAATAAATTACAATGATGCTATTTTTAACAATTAACAAAGTATCTATTACCCACTATAAATTCTAAGTGAGGACATTTATTAGGCTTAGGTTGATAAGAATAAACTTTACAGAATAAAAATCAATTTGGAATACTTGGATTGCTACTTAAATTGGAAGTACTTATTTAAAATACATGTGGACCTTTAAAATACAGATGTGCTTTCATCCTTTTAGATATTTAAAATATCTAGGCCAGTGCTTCTCAAAACATAAATGTGTTATCAATCTCTTGAGGTTTTTATTCAAAATACATATTCTGATTACTGCAAACTGAAATCATGACTTTTAGAAAAGTTCCCCATGTAGATCTAACATGCAGCAGTTTGGGAACCAATGTTCCAGATTAAGGTCAGGACATCTGTTTCTTGGTTTTTAAATAACTTCAAAAATAATGCAATACTGAAGGGGCAAATCAGAATTAAGTAACACACAGAAAACAATTTACTAACCAGTCAAGTTTTAAAATGAGCCCTTGTGTGGTTTACCAAAAAAAAAAAAAACAAAAAAAAACAGCTTACCTGCAAGTGCTGTCTGTCAATGAAGAGAAACACCGACTGGTTAGGATTGTTGACAACAATTCCAGTCTTGTCCTTTCGGCTCAGTACATGCAGAAACTGTTTTTCATAGTCACCGTGATGAAACTCAAATTTGGCCTAAGAAATAAGACATTTACATGTAACTACAAGCATGTTACACTTGACGTTACCTAAAACGTCTACTGTACCCATACACATACAGTTGTGTTCTTCAATATGGTAACCAATAGAGGCTACT